GCTGAAGCGCAAGGTCTACACTTCCATTTCCTTGGTTGGCCCTCTTGACCCCCCAAATGGCTTGACCCTTTGTGAAGCCCATGTTCACGATCAGCTGCATGTTGTATAGGTCCTTGCCAGAAAGAATGGCGCCATCCTGCGTTCCAGCCTCTGGGCTGGAAGCAGCTGGCTCCTCTGGACTCGATGTTGGCCATGTCATTGACAGGGCGATGGCTTCTGCCAAATCGTCCTCATTCGAATCTGCCTTGGGCAAGTCCTGCAGTGACATCTCAAGAGCTTTTTGAAGCTCAGGGTCCTCTTGGTCCTGGACCTTGTCCGCTGGCACGACAGCATCCACATGTGGCCGCGTCAGTGACAACGCCATAGATTCCTCAATCATTTGAGCAAGCTCCAACTCTTCCTGCAAGAGTTGCTCTAACAGCAGCTCAGATTCGTCCATGGTTATGGCTTTCTCTTCAACTTTCTCTTCGGGTTCTTTCTCCCCAGGACCCTTGCTACTATCCGGTTTCCCCGAACAAGGTTTGCACTTGAGGTCAGACCCGGTAAGGTTGCAAGTCGCACAATGGTATCCCTTGTCCGTGTGCTCGATAACATGATCGCCAGTAGGTTTTCCTGAGGGTAGGCAAACAATAACCCATACATCAAATTTAATGCAAAAAAACCCAACTGCACACCATGACATCCAGTGCGAAGTGCTTGCAAGACACCTGGCCGAGGTTGCCCCAAGCGAAGAGGCACTGACTTCTTCAGGTTCGGTCCTGGGCTGTGCTGTGGAAGTCAAATAAGTGAAACATATAGGAGTTGAATATGGTTGGACTAAAAAAACACTGGTCGGACTGGAAACCTGACCTTGCTTCAACTCGCTGGTGTTGGCAGGGCTGCTTGATGTCAAAGCTGGCGTTGATGCCTCCTACAAAATGGTAACCCCAAAGACTTCGTGTCCTAAAGGAAATAATATAAGATGCTATGTTCACGCATATCGTAGTGTTACAGTATGGTTCTAAATAGTCCTGCATTGGTTTGGGAGCAACCGCTGGGATCTTGTTGACGGGTTCCACGGTCGCTTTTCCCACAGGGGTTTCTTCAGGGGGTTCCACCACTGGGGCTGGTGTCTTCACAGGGGGAGCTGTCATTGGGACTTCTTCGGGTTCAACAACCGGATCATCTTCCTCATGCTCACTTTCCATGCACTCACCCCCTTCACCATCATCACCCCAATCATCATCTCCCCCATCATCTCCCCCATCGGCTGCGGCAGCGGCAAGGCCATGGTCGCTGCAACCAGCATCACCTCCGGAATCATCACCAGGCGGTTCCAGGGAAGAACCTGGGGCAATGGATGGATGGCCAGAAGCTATTGCCAAAAAAAAGCCGAATGTTAAGATAAGTTAAATATATATCCCCCAATAGTTGGATGATGTGAAGAAAAATGGACATTTAGCATCCCCTGTTATGTATACGTATATATGTATGCTATATATATATATATAAGGTGAAATGGGGATCAGATTAAGATGGCCAAAGGACTTGAAGAACCACGAGGGGAAACATCAGGAATGGGGATCTCTGCCACTTCCATGAGTCTAAGCAGGTTTGGGTCCCTGGGACGATGTCCTCGCTTGACTGCTCTGGAAAAAATCGAGATGAGGTTTCTCAAAATCCAGCTCTCACAAGCAATGACAGCACCTTGGGCGGGGCTGCAGCTAGTGATTCTAAATCCATTATATGTATACAAAACACCGTTGCTGCAGTCATGAAATTTGATCCTAAGACGGTATATGGAAAGAAAATGGAAGAGACCCATTTACACACGCACACACACACACACACGCAGACACACCAAAGGCCCCTGCCGGACGGAAGAGCCTTTCCGCGAGGCCGGCAATGCACCAGCAGCTCCTGGACAGCTTCAGTGAGCAAGCCAACGGATGGGCGAAGTCCTCAGCAGTCCATGGGCGGTTTGATCTCGAGATTTAACTTCCCGGAAGACGAGCAATTTTAACTACTGTTTTGAAGGCCGGTTTTGAAAAAAACATTCAAGTCTTGTACAAGGATACTTCAAGACAATTCAGGCTATGTTCCAATATATTGGAGAATCGGGGTCAGAAGCTCCACATTGATGCTGACATCACGCCGTGTCAGACGAGCAATTTTAAACTACTGTTTTGAAGTCCGGTTTTGAAAACAAAAACATTCAAGTCTTGTACAAGGATACTTCAAGACAATTCAGGCTATGTTCCAATATATTGGAGAATCGGGGTCAGAAGCTCCACATTGATGCTGACATCACGCCGTGTCAAAGCTTTTGGTTTTGCAACGTTGGCTAGCTTACCAGTCGCTGCCCTACGGCATAGATCCTCATTGGCCTTCCAGCACTTGAAGATTTCAGCTACCAACTTGTGTTGCTCCTGCTGACCCATGGCAGCAACTGCAGTGTTTACCACGTACCAACTGATCCCAAATGGCTTCAAAGAAGCGGCAGTCTTTTTTATACTTGACCCCCATGTTTGAGCACCAACCAGCTTATGAAGATCCAGGCTTGACCTGTAGACAATATAGCAATCTAGCATCCACGATTTCCCACCCGTGCTGGCCTGCTAAAGTTTGCCGGCAGCCAAGGTTGTAGCATCGCGTACCTGGAGCACACTTCTATGGCACACAAGGGGTGTTCAAAATTGTCCAACGGCCTCAGAACACAGGGGGCACAAGGTCAAAAGAGGACCACAAGGAAAAAATTGAGCCAGCAATGGCTTTGAAAGAAAAACGCTCGAGATATTTGATTTAAGTGACGAATGGAAATTTATGCTCGGATGGCTAAAAGGTACAGGGTGGCAAATAATAATGTAACGAACGATGATCCAGGTAACCATTCCTACTTTGTGATTGATGGCTAGCATGCAAGACAAGTTGTTGGAAACGCTTTGCCTGACTTGATTTTCAGTGATGCCTCACCTTACCCTGCGAATCGGTGCCGGTATGTGCCAGTTTTAGACATACCCCGCAACAAATGTATGTCTTGGGTGCTCCAAATCTCATCTAAGAAGGTGCCCATGACCCAAGAATTTCAACCCCAAACACGGTCCAGATTTTTTTCCCCTGGGTTCCAGAGGGTTTGCCCGAAAACTTGTTGGATCCGCAATCACAACTGAATTTCCGAAGAAATTGCACAATTTACCAGGGGTTGAATACGGAAACATCTACAGTTTCTTTTGGTTTAAAATTTGTCGAATTGCGATAATCATAATTAATGCGAAAATTTAATTGAGGATAACATGATGCAGTGGCAGATGTGTAATTGCATACACACATGCATTCACCACCGTCCCCAAACATGGTCATTCCACGAAGCAAAAGAACGGGAATACAGAATTCCAACTTCCTGGAAAGCCAGGCAACTACGCCACTGTGTACCATTTCAACGCCACTTTTTGGAAGCGAAAAGTTGCATATTTTGTCTATCCGTTCTTTACGTGTTTTTACGCCGCTTTAAAGATATTTATGGAATTTTATGGATATGTACGCAACTTTTACGCGTATTTGGGCCACTTTTGCGTATGTGACTTCAGCAAAGTTCATCATTTTGAACCCAGTTGCCGTTTTTATTTAAAGTGCCATCATGGAAACTGCCACTTTTCCAAAGTTGCCTAAAACATATTTGAAAATAGCACACTGTGGCGAACAAAAACCCGCTGATCTGTTGGCCGAAAACAAATTCAGGTGTCAATCTGAGAAAACATCGGAAAACATAGGAACTATATGCACGGAATGGGGGATGCATACCGCACACTTCACTACATTGGATTGCTCACCCTGTGCCTTTGCACCCTGAAACACTCATGAAATTGGGAAAATGCCTCCATTTGCAGATGAACTTCGTATTGAACAATCGGATTTGAATCGGATTTTCCCCTTTTTTGTGTTCAGAAAAGTCCTGCAACTAAGAAACTTGTCGTAGTCGTACGCCACATCTTCTTTGCCATCTTCTGTTTCCTGGTCCTTGGGACGTTCCCCGGCTAAAAGAATTCGCAAAGTCATTGTTGGGGACGGATCGCTGGGTGGTGTGTTTTTTTGGTGCTAGCAAGTAGGGCAAGTAGGGTGGAAACAACAAACAATTGAGACTTTTCGAAACCATCTCAAGATAATGAAGCAACATGGCAGCAACTTCAATTTCAAGGACAAGAAAACAAGAACAATCGGCTTTGGCGTGTGTGTGTGTGTGTGTGTGTGCTTTCCACCTGCGGACAAGGCATTTCCGAGAAAATTGCTCAAACATGTGCAACAACATCCTCTCCCGCGATCGGACCCCAAAAAAGGCTACACCGTCTGTATACGACATAGTCTGTCAATCAAAACGGCACCCCAATTTCACTCTGACTGACCAGCTTTCAAAATCAGAGAGCCACAAACCCCTGACCAGCTGCCGCACTCTAAGCAATCAAGCAGAACGTCAAACGTCTTTACTTCAAGTTTGACCCAGAAACAGCCAAATTCATCCAAGCTCAAGCTTCAGCAACCTTATTTATGATGTTTGCAAAGTGCCCCCTGTCTTCGTGACAAGTTTCCGGGTCATGGCCATCAACTGCGCTACTGCCCTTGAGGATTTCTTTTTTCAGCTCTTCAATTCCTTAGCTCCAGAGCTCTGTATCCAACGGCAAACCTCGCAGCAACTTCAAAGCATGACCAAACATGAGCAAAGTTGTAACTTATTTAAAGCTCGAGAGGTGAAATCGTCAATTGGAGGCCTTCTTCTTCAAATGGTCTGGTTTTTAAATGAAGACCGTGCCAATGATGAACATAATTACAAGAGAACAAGAGTTCTACTGCGAAATCCTCGCCCTTCAGGCCGCATCTCTCTTCTTTTCTTCTCCGCATCGTCCCGTGAGCAGCTTGGACCGAAAATGACCATGAGAAGAAAACCTCTCACCGTCCCAACTGCTTATAGATTCAAGAACATTCCTGGAAACTATTGGAAAAACACGGCCCATCACAACTTGGATGCCTCAACTGCCCAGATCCAGCCACATGAGGTTGGCAAACACCAGCTCCTCCCCACCTTCCAAGCCATTCTCTGCGACCGTTTGGGTCTCCTTCAGCCGTTCACTTTTCTTTAGCCATCGCAGGTTGCCCCTACTATCAGCCACCGGAGTCCCATCCAGCAGGAACAATCCATACTCTTTGGGAGGGGAGTCGCACAAGAATGGCACCTTGTCGCGGAACCTGCAGTTCTGGCGTTCGAAAAACATGGAAAAAGGATGAAAAAGGTCACTTCAGCCTAGTTCGGGCCCCATCCCAAGGAGAACAAGGGAATTCAAAGACATTATTCAAATATCATGTGGGTAAAACAAACATAAACCATCCCCAAAATCACCATAAATAGGTGATATAAGCCATTCCTAAATGGGTGGTTTATTATTGTTTTACCCACATTAATTGAAATAACTTAAACAAATGCCAGAAACTGTTCATACGCTTCCAGTTTCACATCTTCAATCCCCTCCTCTGGATCTAAGTTCAAGGTCAGCTTGGTGGTCTTGCCTGCTGAGTCCACTTTGATGAAAATCCGAATGCCGTCCTTGGATTCCGCTGTTAAATATTCCGGAATAAATATGTTTTTTGGCTGTAAATGTGTTTTTCGTTTTGGGGGGAGTGAAATCACCAAAAAAATGATTTCGGTTGATTCAAATCGGAGACAACAGAATAAGACAAAAACATCAAAAAACAACGAATCCAAGCATCACCTTCGCCGGAGCTGGAAGAAACAGCCTCCTCAGTCACTTCCACCACCTCCATCTGAAGCTTGGATCCTTCCTTCAGGTCCACTTCGGTCAACTCCATCTCATCACTCAAGACCTTCCCATCAAAACTCAACTGAATGGCTTGTTCTGCAAAACCCAACTCCAGGTTCAACACGGCCTTCAGGGTCTTCACCGTATCCTTGGGCCTGGCTTCAATTTGATATGCCTTCCCTTCCTCCATTTCCAACCTTGGATTTGCTCAAGATTGCCTCAAAAGAATTGGTGGATTTGCCAACTTGAACAATCAACAATCCAATAACAGCAAATTTCAAACAAGTCAATAACCCCCCCCAAAAAAAGAAACAACTCAGCTGAAGTTAAGTCCAAGGCAACAGGATGGGCACATAGCTATTGGGATCCGTCTCCGCCAACCTCACCACCCGCCCTCGACGCGCTGTGCGCGCTGTGTGCTGCCCCCAGGCGGCCAAGAAGCCGCCGGTCACGGCGGCGCCACAGGCGCTGCTCGGAGCACCAGCCGGGCCTCGCGGTGGGACGCCGGGCCGTGTGGCCGGCGCAAGCTGCGGCGCCGGCCGAAGTGGAGAGAGGACGAAGGTCAGCGCCATGGATTCGGATGGAGAACCCAGGATGAAGGTTTCAAAACATATTTCTCGAGATGTCTTATCCAAACATTATTGTGTTATATAATGCACTGTAGATGCTGATCCATGGGGATTCGAGATGATGATCATGGTGTGGTTCCTAACATGGTGTGAGATTTCTTCCAGGAGATGCAGCTTGAGGCGGCCAGGGTCCAAGTTGCCAGCTTGCCAACTTCTTAAATACCTGGTTTGATCTGCTTTGACAAAGACCTTGGAAGTTGCCTTTTGCTGTTTTTTGTCAAACATTATTCTCACAGAACCGCCCCAGCATCTCTATATAGGATGACCAAAGACGGAACTGTGCTTGCCGGCGGGAGCCATCTGCTCGCGCACTGGTTTGTCGTATCTGTTCCCATTGCTAGGTTTTGCTTGTGGAGGGTAACTATGGGATAAACATGGATAAACCATGAAGACACCCAACAACTGAAACAGGATGTTCCCTGAGGTTTGCTGCCTCAGCCAAGCCTCTCATCTCGCGCAGCATGCGCTTTCCTAAGGGCTTTGGCTCTTCCCTGACGTGGCTGCCACCCTCCAATATGGCTGGTTCAACCACAAACGGATCAACATGGGGTTGAACAATGGGGTTGATCAACTTTGATCCAAAAACCCTATACAAGATGTATATAAGTTACTATAATCCCTCACCCCGATCATATCAGTTTCCCCGGGGGGTCAATCAGCGAATGTTCAATATGTTTTAATATGATCGGTGGTAAGGGATTGCAATATTGCATATACACACCACAGCACCTTTTCATGCCTGTCTACTACTACTTTCAACATGTCCAGTGAAACCAATGCTTTCTGTAGCTTCTTCGTTGTAGCCAAGACATCAAAGCAATTTGCCTTCTATTTGATACCATCTTATCTCATCTCCAGTTGTGAATGGATGAGTGGTTCCAAGCAATACTCAGGGTACATATGTTTATGTATGTGTGTGTGATTGCATGCATCTCATCTGTCTGCCTACTGTACTGTAATGTTCATTGTTGATGTCATTGTTATTTCACCATTACAAAATTGCCATTTCATTCGGGCATTTCCCAGCTACTGTAGCTATGTTTGATTCCCCCCCCTAAATGTTTACAGAGGATGTGGACATCCCAACATCAAAGTAGAGCATACAAACCGAACGGAAACCATGGGGTTGCCATTTTTTTTCGCATGTTTAGCCCAGGGTATTCATCCAGTTTGTCCATGAGTAATATATACATATATATCCCATTGTTGTTGGTTAAATTCCATGAAAGCACCATTTTTTCCCCGGCTGCCCCAGGTCAAAATCCACGTATCTCAAGCTGTTGAACCTGTCCGGCCTAGGCTTCTTGGGTACTGTTAGCTCCAACATCCGCGGAGAGAGTTCCACTTCTTTCTCCTGCTGAAGTTGAGGGGAAATCCATGGGAAAGCCACAGGAAACTATGTGCTATACATATGCATACATATGTAGAATATCCCTGGTTATATTATATATATATATAAATATACTATATGGAAGTGAGAAGAAGTTTAGGTACATAGATGTGTGTTCGTTGTTTTTCCCACTGTACAAGTAGTTTGTTTGAAGATGTTTGAAGCCACTTCTGGGAGAAAATGGTATGTTTGACCGATTGCAAAATTAAGTTGGCATGGTCTATAGTCGTAAGTGCTGCCGGAATATGAGTTTATACCAAAGTCTCCAAAGAAAAAGAACGGGCGGAAATGCAAGAATGACAGAGCTTGACTACTCCAGCGCGTCCTTTTGAGTGGTCTTCTTCTCATCTGCTTTGTCACTTAGCCTCAGTTCAAGTACTGACCAAAACAGGCACTCTAGGCACTCGAAAAAGCCTTTAAGCCGATTAGATTTGTTGAAGCCACTGCCCCCATCATTTGCAGGACTTGTCTTGTATACAGTAATCATTCGTCAAACATACTTGCACCGGAAAATGTATATGGCCTTTGGCACCTGGACTGTTATAACACAGGCCTCCGCATTTGTAGTTGTATTTGCGTATGTATATATATAATAATAAATCAAACACACAAAAAGTGAGTATGCATATCATAGCAGTCAACCTCTGTGACTGCCTTATCATGCCTTCTCATATCATCTTTCTTTTTACAGTATCCCAAGTACTCTGGTTATTGAGTCCCCCATTCACAGGTTTAATATCAGTTTGAAGGTGAGGCCTCCTCGCGGTCACCATAAACCCTCATTCACCTACTAAGACAACTTCGCTAAGTAAGCGGCGATACCACTTTGCATCGAGTTGCTTATAGATTCCATCTAGATAAATAGATAGATAGATAGATAGATAAGATAAGATAAGATAAGATAAGATTAGATTAGATAGATAGATAGATAGATAGATAAGATTAGATAGCTAGATTAGATTAGATTAGATTAGAATAGATTAGATTAGATTAGATTAAATAGATAGGATAGGATAGGATAGGATAGGGTAGGATAGGATAAGATTAGATTAGATAAGATAAGTATAAGGATAAAGATAAAGATAATATAAGATAAGATAGATAGATAGATAGATACGAATCATCATAATTTATATCATATTAATATTATATTTGTATTTTTGATTTTAAAATTTGTCCATCCCTCATTATATCCAACTGTCTCCCTATTAACCCTTTTCCGTCTATTACATGACATCATATGACATCCATTTTTTGGTATATCCCTGTACATATCCCTATAATTAATCCATATCCATATCCACCCACTAACAATATTTCTTAGTTGACCTAATTAGAAACCAACTTAGCTAATGAACTGATCAAATAAAAATCCGATCTCGTGAACTGCGGCCCCACCTTGTACCTTGTACTTAGGAGAATTGCAATTTTTTCCATTGGTAATTCATGTTAAATCCCTTCAAATGAGCATTTTTCATAGGTATACAAATCCCCCGCAATCAGCGTTTTTCATAGCTAAATTGCCTGAAATCAGCATTTTCATAGGTAAAATCCATGGTAAATCCATGGTAAATCCCTCCATTTTTCATGGGCGTCGCCTGCCTCCAGGCCTCCCGCCATCTCCAAGCAGCTCTTCTTCGCAGGTCTCTTCCCCCGGCCGCGCCCAGTCATCAATAAAGGCCACGTTCCGCCGGGAAAGGCGGCCGTGGCCATCCACGTCCAGGCAGTAAAACAAGGCCTGGAAGCTTCACGGAGGGTGGCCAGGGCCAGGGGAATCCGAAAAACACAGGTGATATACCATCTGGTTATTTAACATAGCCATGGAAAATCACCATGTTTAATAGGTAAACCATCTATAAATGGGCTATTTTCCATGGCTATGTTAAATAACCAGAGGGTAGGTGATATTTTATGGATATCCAGATGATATCATAGAAATCTCCAGTGGAAGAGAATCAGAAAAGCGTATAAACGGGTAAGTATATATATATATGTTAATACTAATAAGTGTATATGCACCCATAATAGTAGCAACCTCCAAACAAATAGAACATTGTATAAAAGTGAAATTTATGACTATTTGAGTAGGATTGTCCTGTTCTATCTTTTTGGGAGTTAGTATAGATACAATTTTGCAGGGCCGTCATCAACGTTTGCTATTCCCAAACTGTCACTCTAGCACTGCTATTGATTCACCAGGCCTATGTTATACACAGAAGGAGATGGATAGATACAATGGATACAGCTACACATGGTATATCAATGGATATATAAGAGCGTGACCAGTATCTAGCTACAGATCATGTATGAACATTTAGCAAAGACAAATAGAGGGATAGATGGATAGATAGTTGGAGGGATAGATGGAACGGGGAAACATGGCCTTTGGAAGATAATTCTATGATTGTTTTGCATGGCTGTCGTTGAGTTCCAAATTGAATTCGGGGAGGAGTAGATGGACAAACGGATGAACTGACATAGACTATAGATGGATGGATAGATAGATACATGGATAGCCACATACATGGATGAAGAGATAGATAGGTTGGCACCACAAACCACATATATTATATACGACAAACGAAGAGGTTTGGTTATGCACCTGTCCACACCTGTCGACTTCAGGAGACTTGACTCCCAGGCTTTCCTGCCTTGCACTGACCACCAGGGTATCCAAAACCAATGAGAACGCGTGTGAACTCCGTCACATCCACATAGCCATTCCGGTCTAAGTCGAACAACTTGAAGGCACACATCATACCTGGACTACTGGAGCGGAGACTAGTTGGGTCCAAAATTCTGGTAGCCTTTTGGTAACCAAACACGGCTAGCTGGAAAATCCACTGCCAATGGAGGTTTTAATGGAAAAAGGTAATCTATCTATCTATCTGTCTGTCCATCTATCTATCTATCTATCTATTTATCTATCTATCTATCTATTTATTGCATATATATATAAACAAGGTGGATTTTCCATTGCCATGTTTTATTGCCGGAGGGTCTCTGTTACTCAGTTTACACCCAACTGTACAAAACCACAAAGAACTGCATTGAATGACTCACATGAGGTAGTGGCCAGAAGAAAAGAACAATGTAACTATAGGTCCAACCCAAACACCAAAATATGCAGGATACATATTTCACAACATCCCAGTCCTATCTGCCTATCTTGTTTCTGGAAAATCAAACATTCTGCCCATGAGGAGAATTCCCAACAGCAACAAACATGGAAGTGGCAAATCCACCATTTACTTCGATGATTTTTCCAGCGAAAAAAACCTCCATTTATAGATGATTTTCCTATTAAAAACCAACTAAATCAGCATTTGTAATAGGTAAATCGAATGAAAACATTTTTTTCATCATTTTTCTTAAGATTTTTTCCAGCCAGCCACCTCCTGACGAACAACCCACTGCCACTTCCGTGCTGCCCAGGTTCTTCCAAATTGTTCCTGAGTTGGCCGGAAATTTGCGCACGTTCTCCTCCACTAATTGATCCAAGTCAAAAAGGCAGCAATGTACTTACATTACCAAATTCAAAGTGATCACATGT